ATTTATTATAAATGACATCAAATTTATAAGAATGAATTTAGAAAAAAAAAAACAATGATTCGTATAGTAATAGTGGTATAAGTTTTTCGTTTACCATCTCCTTTTAGATAATAAACATTGTACTTTTGGTAAGCCATTCGAGTTTTTAAATCAAACATATATACATATGTTATCCTGGTTCGTTTGGACCTATTGCTATTTTAAGCAATAGAGACATCATAATTATTACGAACAATTCATTAGCAGATTTGGTCATCAGTTAAATGAGATGTTTATTTCATTTTTAATGGATAAATAAAAAAATAGTATATAACTAAATTTTGTATTCACTTGGAAATGATATTTTGATAGTCTTTCGATTGGATCATAATTTATTATTATTAATATACTGTGAAATTATAATCTCACCAGTCAATCTTACTTGCAAGTTAAACGAGAGAATTTTATTCGATTGTATCAAACTGTTACCTTACAGTATGGAAGATGTACGTTCAGATAATTTTTTTAATAGTATTGATTGATAATTACATATATAAGATTAAAAAATCGGCAAAATCTATTAGACTATTATGTTTTATGTTCAATATATAATTGATGTAAAAAATTGAAATTTCAATGTCATTAACACGAACTTTACTTTAATGTTCATTAGTCGAGTATGTGAATAAAAAACTTCAAACTTCTGCGAAGTCGACGAATACGATATATTAATCGAGCGATAGATTTGAGATGCAAGTCAGTGTCAATAAATAGTTTATAAATTATTGTTTTCACATGCCTGGGTCATTTCATTGTTTTCATTTTGTTAATTGGTTTTATTAGTTTGTATTGTCCGATGTATATTGTTATGTGTTTATATTCGAGATATTTATAAAACCCCTCTGTATACAGAAAGTTTTGGTATTTTATTTTTTATATTTAAAAAGTATTTCATTTTCAATTAAATTAATTATATAATAATTCATAGATTATGGGTACAGTATGTGACAACAGTCGATTTGCAAAATGCGGCAGTGTGCTTTGTTTAACCGTATTTGTTCTTTTAGTTTTCTGCTCTTAAATGACAAAATGCAACTTTTACTTTTATGTTAATTTATAATGGAATTTTTCGCGCATTTTTTTTATTATTAGTTTTTTAAAATTTTTTTCTTTTCGGTTTTTCTTTTTTTTTTTTTTTGAAATTATGGGCACTGAGGAGATTACAAGATAAATGAGATTATATGTATATATTTATATATTTTTTCAGCACCTTATATAATCAGTACTTGGCATTTTCACTCTTACTAGACTGTTACGTGATTGTTCTTACGAATGATTTATGTTGATGTATTAACGAGGTATTGTATTTATTTATTCAAAAAAAAAAAAAAAAAAAAAAAAAAATTCACATCATCGTTTAAACGATCATAATTTCGATAAATTATAGAGCATACGATTAGATAAAAAATATGATTTTTAACTTTTTATACATTAAATTAATTTATAGACACATCATTGTTCTAATACAAAATAATATATATATATATCAGGAACTATTTATAATTTTAAAACATTAAAAATCCAATTACATTAACGGATGGATAAATAATAAAGTATTCGATGTAGATGATATAATGACTATTTAACCTCAAATATCATGAATTAAGATATTATTTATAAGTTTTTTGTTCTAAATTTTAGAATCACTAAATCAAAATGCTAATATGATTAAAGTATCGAAATTTATAATTTTCGTACTGCCACGTATAGTAATTTAATAAAATAAAAATAAAAAAAAAAAATATTTACGATATACCATTATTGAACTCTTCAATCATCATTATTTACACAATTGAGTAAATAATGAAGAGAAAAGACATTTAACCACTCATATTCGGCATTCGCGTAATCATTTACTTACGGATGATAACTAACATTATCTTTATAATATTACTAGTCAATGGTGAATGGCAATTTTTAATATCTCTGGAAATTAATGATATTACATTCAGTGGCTCTGTTGGTAATTTATCCAAAAACGCCACCGAATGCAATTTCTATGTTTATTAATCATTGAGAAAAGCTATCCTTACCTTAGCTATTTTTCTTATTCTTTTTATTTTGGTCAATGCGTACGCTTGCAATGCGACAATAGTTTTTATTTCAAGCTGTTTATTTAAATTCTATAATCTAATCACGTATAATATCATTATTTTTTTTTTCTTTTAATTTTTATAATTAGATTGAATCGGGACGATTGTTATATAAAAATTCATGCTAAATTAAATAATTAGACCTTTAGAAAGAATGCTAAATTATATTTCATCTAATATTTATATTTATTATCTTTATGATGATTTGACGGAATAAATATTTCCTCGTTATTTTTCAGTACCAAAATCTTATCGAAAAAGTATTATATAATCTTGTTATCAATCTCTCCTAATTAAAACCAATACCTCAATAACATATTTAACTACATATTTCTACTCTCTCTCTCTCTCTCTCTCTCTCTCTCACTCTCTCAAAGTATAACAAAGAATCTACAATTGTCATTGAAAAATGTAACCGATTCAATCTTTCATAATTAAATTTAAGAAGTCTAAATGTAAACATAAAACAATGCAGATGTTCATGCCGTAGATTCAACTAAATAAACAACTCGACAAGCTTTCACGCTGCATTTCTTTTTTGTCTAAATATATAAGATTTGTTGACTATATCATTTTCATCTATGTTTATGTCTATACTATATTAATAAGCTGACAGAAAGAACAAGAAAACATCGCGATACAAGCGCATACAATGGTGGCAAATTATATATTCTTTACACGTACCTGCTAAATCTTTTATTATACACGATTTTGTAACTGATTTTTATATTTTTATTTCGTTTAGAACGATCTACGTTTTAGTACTATATTTTTTTGTTTATTTTGTTTTGCTAGAATCGACGAAAATGATCAATTTTCTCTTTTTAAATGTCAAACATGCTTCATTAATACTGACTATTACTGTAGTGTTAAAATCACTGTAGTATTGTTTATTTTTATAATTGAAATTATTATTCCGTATAAAGTTTTTATTTATATTAATTACGTCGAAATTTATTTACGATTCTATTGTCAACATATAGAATTTAATAACATTATATAGTTTTTTGCTTATGATGATGCTCGTGTTTTGTATACTTTTTACGGATTTACAATCCTTTTCCTTCTTTGTTATGCGTATTTCCTATATTACATTGAATTCCTATATTATTTGCATTCGTATCATTTTTTTAATGCATTTCATTTTACACGTGTATCTACAAATATCGTATATTCTTTGAAGACATTGAAAACTATTGGATAAAATTTATCTATTAATCTAGGATAGAAATGAGACTTAGATTGTACTAAAATTTAATCAAAAAATCAATTGAATTACTCTGTTAAGTTAAGTAGAGGATAAATTTGCGTAATCATTGACATTTGAAGAAAAAAAAAGCGTCTTTGTTACGAGAAATAAGGTTGAAAATTTTAACGAGTCTATTTAGATAGATAAATATTAAAAAATGTCGTAATTGCAGATTTTTAAAATAGATTGATAAAAAAAAGGAAAGAATTTCATCGTTTCGAACATACCATATATGTTTATACATGAATTCTGCTATCTTTTACATACGACTTTATTATATATCTTTTTCTCTTATTTTATTTTATTTATGCATTTTCACTAACACTACATAGTTAATAATAATCTTTATCAAAAGCACATGTATACTGTCAACTCTACACGCATGCGCATCCACATGTACACGCGCATCTATGGCAGTCGAACGCATAGCTTCTTAGATCACGCAAATCTACACACTCACGCATATGTGGACACGCAAATATTGTGTTTAAGCCAATTTTTATGCGTATTCAACATTATTTATTATTAAATTCGCAATATTTATTTGTTTCCTGGTTAGTGCTATCGACATACGTACGTATCTTTTTTTTTCCCCGTGAAGACGAAGGAGTATATTCCATAAAAATTCTGCCTGACGAGGGCCGTATAAAAACTTGAAATTCGTGTTTCTTTGTTTTGTGTATTTATCTGTACGTATCTGTTTATTATACACTTTACTCGTCTCGCATAAATCAGACTTTATATTATGAGTTATTTGATAAAACACTATACGTAACCCATTTTGAGGTTCCTAAATTTGGTGAAACTATGGCATACGTAGATGTGCGTAGGTATCAATGTATAATACGACCTTCATTATAAATGTTTACTAGAAAATTTAATGCCTTATAACAAGATAAATAATTTTACATGAGATACTCAATTTTTATTAATATTTTTGCAACGATAACCAATATTATTGTCTAAATGATGCTTATAATTTCATATATAATTATAGATATTTGTTACATAAGCATTAATTATTATATATATGTCTGTAGTTGTAATTGTACTTCAATATGACATATTGAAGTAACTTGTGATAACAAAATTTTTCATATTGTACCCTATTAAGGCTGTACCTTGATGTTTTAAATAAATTTGTAAATATATTTTCATAAAATGAAGATCATATTATACATAAAATGCGCCTTAAACATTTCATAGATATACGCTTTATTCGTATATTTTCATAGCTTCACTTCTTACATATAATTTTTGTGCATTAATGTACAGTTTAACTTTCATTCTCGAAATATTTTGCATTATGAGTTCCCTTTAGTGCCTGAACATCCTACCTCACATCGATAATAATTTCAGATGTGTCAATCTTTAAACAAGTTATAAGACATAAAGCCACTTATAATGCAGCATCAATTTCTGTCTGAGAAGTTCTTCTTAATTATAATGGACTTCCTTCTTTAATGCAACATTGTTCAATAGCATCACATACAAAGTATAGCAAATGAAAGTTTCACTGTAGATTTGATGTTATTTTAGCCATTCGTGATGCACAATTTACATAAACTATGAGCTCATTCTCATATTCAGAAAGATTATTTTAGCATCTTAGTGCTTACTAGTATTGATAACATGATCGTCATCGCTGGCTTCAGCGTCTCCCTCAACACCATGTTCACCTTCTTCATGGTGCACAGTGCCATCCTCAGTATCGACACTACTTGTCGGAGTTACTTCCTCGTTCGTTCCATGAGTGAAGAAACTAACGCTGTGCCCATGGCCGTTCTCGTGACTGATTTCATGATCGTTGCTATCGTTACCATTTCCATTCCCATTAGTCAATGAATTAAGGAATGGATTAGTCGAATGAAGATGGGGCTTATTGTTCACAATGACTGGGTTCGATGTCGAGCTATTAACAGCTGGCGAGCAATTTAATTTAACCGATTCCTGATAACTGCTGGAATCCTCGCTGCTAGGTGAACCGGGAGATGAAACTATCACCTGTAGCCCAAACAAATTACGAACATCAATTTTTACACAGACACACACACACACACACACACACACACACACATAAACATAAACATACATACATACATACAGTAATACGTTCATACGTATATATAACATAATGCGTTTGAGGTAAAAATGAAATACTTAATCGTTTACTTTTACATATCCTTTTGAAAATATAGAAATTGTAATTTTCATTTATATTTAAATTTAAAAACGTAATTATGTCAAGAAATGAATATTATATGATAAATTGACAATTATTAAAATTTTTTGTAAATATTAGTATAGTCTATAATATTAAATTATCATGTACATGTCTATTACAACTGTTACAGTTTTACAAAGTGAACAATATCAATGGTCGTATTAAAAAAAGTGAAACAATAAATAACGTAATTTTATTTGAAAGAAAGGATGCATTTATTTATGAACCACATTTATCGCATAGAATATTTAATACCTCATTTTTCATTTACTTCATAACCATAGACTTACAGAACATGTACTCTTTAATACTATATAATATTCTAAAGGACTATTATTTGAAAAAATTAAAGCTTTATGATGTAAAATAAAATATCTATCAGAGAATAATATCTTGAAATCAATAAATAAACATATATATTAGACGGTTGTTGTGCATGCGTATGCATTTGTATAAAGGCATGTCAGTAAACTCGTGTATGCATATATGCTGGTCATTTTTTTAAAAAGCGTCGAATCAATTTTATATTTCTCCTACGGAATCTATAGTAAGAGAAACGATAAATTAATCGTTGGCAAAATTCTATTCTTAAAATCATTACTTCTCTATAATACTTACTCTTCTGAAATATGCAAGTGATATTATTGTATAATAATTTAAAATAAGAAAATATGTACAAAAAAAAACCCAAAAAATCAATTCTTATAATAATAAATTAAAGAATAAATTTCAATAAATTTACCTTCAATTATTTAATATAGTAATTTTATTAATAAAAAAGTATTGTTATGGCGTAGCATTTTTTATTTTATTTTTTTTTCATTTTCGAAAGATTAAAGTCTGATCATTGTGCTTCATATATACTTGTATACATTATACTTAATAAGAAAATTAATATCGTCGGTATATTAATTATAAATATATCTTACCATTAAATGCCAAGTATTTATTGAATATGAATAATAATTTATTGGTTATAATATATTTATATGTTTCATAAAAGAAACTATCTTTTATTGAGTTAAACAAAATTAAAAAGAAGTGAAAAAATCATTATTTACAAATAAATAATTAATAATTTAATAGCTTAGAAAGAAATGTATAATTTTTAACACGTTTTATCAATGTACAATACTTTTTTCTAATGATAATGAATATATCTGTGTACACACGCACCCATATATATATATATATATATATATATATATATATATATTATCCATCAGCATAAAAATACAAGAACTTTTGAAATATTGAAGGATTTATTAAGTTTTTTGTACAATAATTTATGCAATTATTATTACTAAATTTAGATCGACTGAAGCAAATAACTTTATTCTACGCGCATGCACTAAAAACATATAGATGAACAATCCCATTAGATGTGCTACGGTACTGTGGGTCGGGCAACGAGCCTACTTGCAGGAAAAAACGATCGGCACTTAACACGTCCCAATGAAAACTCAATGATTAAATAAAAGCATAAATGGAGTCGTATTATGAGGGTGAGAAATGATAACGATAATATACCTGTGCAAGAAGCGGCGTCTCTGTGCTGTCAGCGATTTGGTAGAGCCGGCAATTTGCGTTTGCTCTGAATACGTGCCAAAACAAAAGATAAAGAAGACAACGTAAATATGTCACTATAGCATGAGTAATGAAGTGAAAATAGTTAAGATTTAGGCTATATTAAATGAATAAAAAAATAATAATAATAATTATAATTAAATATAAAAGCAAACAGAATATTTATATCAATATGAGTCGGATGTTATAATTGCTATGAGAAAAAGTATTATTTAAATCTAATATTTTTATTTCTCTTATTTTTTCTTCTTCAATATTTACATGACTAAACAATCTGGGAGCAATGATTTCAAATGATCAAATTTTCATATTTATAAGTTCTTACAAATCGACAGACAAACTGATTTTACAAGAACTTTTACAAGTGTTTTGGCATATAACCTAAAGCATTCTTATTGACAAAAACTAAAACAAAAAGTTTAAGCATTATATTAAAAATAATTAAATACTTTAATATTAATTCAAAATAAAACATTGTAATTAAAAGTTTTTTAAAAAATCTACTGGAGCATTGCATATCAAGAATAAGATAATAAATAAAAAAAGTCTAGGCAGAAATAAATTGTGTTTGGATTTTAATTTAAAAATTTCGATCATTATATCAGATAGTATTATTATTTAATAATTCGAAATATTTTATATATTGATATATTTTTATAATATGCGCATGATGTATATATATATATATATATATATATATATATATATATAATAATAATAATAAATATATACATATATGAAAAAGAAATAAAGAAATTTTCAGAATATTCACTTACAAAATAAATTTAATTATTATAAGAATTTGATTATCTACGCGAACTATTTAGGGGACAATTTTAGAAAACTAAAATTAGTATGTAATATAGTTTATATTGAAATAATTATTAAAAGAAAAGGATAATATTATTAAGAAGTTGACAAAAGTGCATAAATATTGAAATCATAAAGGAAAATATTAATACTATGATACAGAATAAGAATAGTGAGGTTTCGATATTAAATTACTCGTTTTACATTTGTATCAAAACGCGAAAAAATTTCACAAAATTCAATTCGTCTATAAGTTTAATGACAGAAAACTTGCAGGTCATGCATTTAAACGTCTTAAGGTATATATATACATATATATATATATATATATATATATATATATATATATATATATATATATATACACACACACAGACACACACACACACATGTACATACACATACGCATAAACACACATATTTATATATAATATAGTAGAGGCATACAATATGTATGTACAAATACTTTGTAAATAATATAAATAATAATCAATAAAGCTTCTAGTAATAGTGATTTTAACCGAATACTTGCAAAAAATAAATTTCGATATATTGATTTAACAATATCGAGCCATTCATTATATTTATTGTATAATTATGTTAATAAAAATTGGAATTATTCTTTAAGACTATTTATTTATTAAAATTTGATATTTATGTATTAGTAAGATTCTAAAAATAAAAATGAAAGATCAGACCGACGTTTTTTATCTAATCATTTATTCTTCCCTGCCATTAAGAACTTCTTAAGCATATAAAAGTAAAGAAAATTCGCAAACAGCATAAAAATATAAGCGATAAAAAGCATAATAAATAACTTATTTGCATTTTTTTCTTTCAGATTATCTTGAACCTCCAAAGATTTGCTTTATTTCAATACATAAATTTATCATTGTAATATACGTTTTTCTATTACAAGAATTTATTTATCGTATGTTTCTAATATAAAATCAAAATTATCTACTATCATTATCATTGTTAGGCATCTAATAATTGGCAAATATTTATTTATATGATAAATTAAATATTTCGCATCTAATACACATATACTATATAAACAAACTAGAAAATTAGAAATGAATAATTCGCAAAAATAATATGAAATTAAAATAATGAACATCAGAGTGTATATTACATATTTTTTAATAAAATATTTTTGTATCAATATATATATATATATATGTATGTATATATACATACTTTAAAATATTGAAATTTAAATTATAATATATTATTGAAATATATTTTACGAAAATCGTTCTTTAAGGTGTATTTTATATTTTATGGATAATAATTTATTTTATAATATAAATTACATAATGATAATAATAACGGTACATTATTAAATTAAGAATTTTTAATATTTATCATGCATAATTATTAATGTATAATGTGAAATATCAAATAATGAGAAATGTGCGATAAAGTGCGTGTGCTACTAATAAATTTATTATTATCATGCTCTTTATTAAAAGAAAAAAAAAGAATGACAATTTTAATTTATGTTATATATGACTATGGAGAATATTATTTGTAAAAGATATTCAAGAAGAAGGTTCAAGACATCAAACGAAACTTCTAGTTTAATAATAGATAAATTACAAAGTTAGAACTTAATTCTATGATCCAAATTCAATAATTATAAATAATTAAATAAAAAATAATGAAAGACAATGAATTAAGCGTATTATAAAATTAGTTATTGTACAATCATTAAATACCTGTCGTGGCTTGATGGGTGGCGGCGGAGGGAGGCGCGGGGAAGCTGTAATGGTTTGCTGTTTTTGCTGTATTTGTTGTTGCTGCTGTTGCTGCTGCTGCTGCTGCTGCTGCTGTTGCTGTTGTTGCTGTTGTTGCTGCCGCTGATGCTGACCTACCGCTGTAGTAGTGAGGGGCTGATGATGATGTGAGTGTTGCTGCTGCCAAAGCAGCCCTGTTCGCGGCAGCGTTCCCGATTGCTGTAATGGCTGCTGCTGCTGATGCTGAATTTGGGATTGATGATGTTGCTGAATTTGCTGGTGATGATGCTGCATTGATTGTTGCTGCTGCTGCTGCTGCTGCTGCTGCTGCTGCTGTTGATGATGATGAAGCAGTTGGGAAACAGAGGAGGCCTGCGGCTGATGCGAGTTGCTGTTGACGTGTGCTGGCATAACTCGAGGAAGTGTTGAAAAGACTGAAGAAATCTTCCGAACTGTCTGTGAAATGAGCTACTGATTATTCGGGACTTACATGTGTTGCGAGCATTTAAAATTGGATCATTCTTACAACAACGAAATGTTATATTAATTTAGCATTTAATACCAGCTGTTATAAATAACTTAGTAATTTTTAACATTAATATTAATTGATATAACTGTTATGAAATTGAAATATTACTATACAAATAAAAATCAATGAGCTTGAATGGCATTGTTTATTGTCTTATTCTTACTATATAATATGCAATTTATTTTCAACTACTGAAATTTATATTATAATGTTTAGTACATTTAGTATTAAATAGAATCTATAATCTTTTCCACGAAGGCTAATAATGCCTAAGTAATTGATTGTTTATTCAGCGATTACATGAAAGAAAAATTTTATTCTTAATATACGTTATTACTCGGTATTATTTATTATTAATATAAATTATACATATTATATTAATTATTAATTCTTATATTATTCTCATATATACATATATTTAGATATATATAGATGTTTAATTGTATAAGGGATAAAACAATGACATTACCTGACTTAACTGGCCAAATTTCGAGTAAATACTTCAGAACGGCTATAGGCTGTTGGAAGTCAAGTATCGCTCCCGCTTCATCCGAATGCAACATTAGCACTGGACCAAAACAGACTGCTAAACTAGCAGGAGACATTTTATTGCATTGGGAAATGACCATTGCCAGATGATCCAATAGATAAATCAATGTACACTAGAAAAATGTCAGAAGTAAATAACAGGTATGGATTTAATATATTTATTATTTAATAAAACTTAGCAACGTGTAATATCGTATGTAGAAAATTCTATATTCATACTAAATAAGACTATATGGAACTTAAAAATTCATAAATCGAAATAATTGACAAAAATGAGAGTGTGAAATAAGGATCGAATGATAATTATATATATATAAAATAAAAAGAAATATTATTCTAAGTATAGAAGGTAACGATGCTTGTATAGTTCAATCACCTTGTTTACAGTCGGTAGGCAATCGAGAATGCTAAACATTAACTTTGCATTTCCTTGTGGATCATCCGGTAAACAGACTCCGAGTGCGTCGACCATCATTTGATAGAGGCACTTCGTGAACAGAGGCTCTGGCAATTCTCTCAAGTAGTCTTTCAAAACGCCTAATGACATAATTCCCCCAGCATATTATATTCTTACTCGCTAAAATTACGCTTTTCCTTGCATGAAATATACGAGCAATTTATTTTTACCTGTTATAACGTTAATGTCAGGAACATTATCAGACGATAAATCAACTGATCTAGCATTTCTTTCGAAAGCCTCTCTTAGTATTCGCTTTTTCGTTGCTGATCCACAAAGTCTATATAAGCCTGCAATGCAAATATACATACTCACACGTTATGCAAAAGAGGCAAGTTAAATTAATATTTTCTCGAATGGGCATGTGATGCTATAATTGGAAGAATTATTCGATCGAATGAAAGAAGGACATCAATGTCTAATTTAGTAGATAAATATCTAGTTTTGTGAAACAGGTTTGTTTAAAAAATTTCAGCTCCGTTGGATTTTGCCGACTTGACACGGCAATGACTTTGCCCATAAGAAGAATTTGACATTAAAAATTTATTTACCAATAATATCTAGTCCTCTTCTTTCCACTTCCTCCACACAACGCCAGACTATTATCGGTACATTCGGTACACTACTACCCCCGAGTGCCAGGGCTGTTGACACACCTCCTGGAACTCCGCCAGTTTTATTCTCCCGAGTCACCTAAAGCGCATAAAAATGCAATTTCAAACACTCTCTCTCCCTCTCTCAAATTATCGTATTACTTAAAAAGAAATATCGCAAATACTTATTTAGCATTCAAATTGAAATGGAATTTTTATTACTCGTTTCACCAACAATGACACTAGCAATAACCTTTAATATCATCGTTGTCTCGAAATTACACGAAAATGGTAAATTACAATAAAGTATTTCTCACATACTTTACACTTCTCTCTCTCTCTCTCTCTCTCTCTCTCTCTCTCTCTCTCTCTCTTTATTCTCGTTATGTCTAAGAGTTCCATAAACTGAAATTGTACGTACAACAGTGTCGAGATCAATGCCAAACAGCGGTGCGATTCTCGTAGCAAGCGAGATAACTGGTAAACCTCTTCTACGAAACGTTTGGCTGGCGTCTGTGTACCTCAACCTCAGATATATCGTACCTCGGGGTTCGACCTTCACGGCCAATTGATGAATCGGCGACTCTTTTAATAGCGTGGCTAAGTGCACCGATCCTTTATAGCAAAGTTTATGTCGATATTGCGGATCCCATGAATAAACAAGCAGATCGAGCTGCCGATTACCCACGAGGTCCAGCTCGAAATTCTCATCCCAGTCGAACATGAGATCACCCGTGCGCACTACCGTACGAGCTTTGTGCACTCGATCACATTCTAAGACGCAGTACAGGTCTCTCAGGCTGCAATTCACTGTTTAAATTTTATCATTAGTAAGCCCCTTATAGTACGCTTATAAAATACCATTTAATTATCGAAATCTCCGTAGTATAAGTTTTTTTTTTCCAATTTCACACGTACGTTATACTTCGTCTGCCTCTGCCATTAGCCTACAACGACGCATTACTGTAATATTGTTATAATTCCTCCAGATGAAAAATCAAGACGGGGATTTGAATTTTCACGGTTAAATATAGACATTTAGCAATTTCTATCAATTATCACCTTTTCGTTCAATTAAAAAAACTTTACACGAGCAATGAAGCTACAGCATTAACTTGTGACAATATAAATTCTTCGATACTGTTTTTTGTATACAATGTAATATAAGCCGTTGATTACCATTTTCACATAATTCTTGGATAGCATAGAATCAACGAGCCACCTATCATCGTAATGCTCATGTCCCTTGTAAATATTATTCAAATCGATAAAACTATTCGTGTACGTAAAAATAAAAGAAATCCAAAACAAAAAAAAAAAACAAACAAAAAAAAAACCGACAAAAACATGCGTTCACGACATTATTGAGCTCCGATAATAATCCAGAAGCTCGAAATAAATCAACCGAGCCGACATGAAAATTCAACCTAAATGCCTTTATCCCTACATAAGTACGTGGCTAATTTTCCTTTCTCGGCACGCAATAATATCAAACCTATGTTAGGCTGACCCGACGGCGTCGATGGCGTTGTCGCTGCTGAGCTCGACGTAGTCGCACGAAGTCCACGTCCAGCAAGTAAATGTACCCAAAGAAGGCCGCTAATGCCGCTACAGAAGTCACTGCCAGCGTTATCCGCCAATGAGCTTAGTAGAGAACTTGTTGAACTTGGCGTGCCCACCGTTGGTGGCTTTTCTATCTTGTATTTGAGGAACTCTGAAAAACATCAATTTACAGATGATGCTGATAAAAAGGCTGTTGATTTGAACAAATTGCAATGAGCGTTAATGTTTCGCAAGTAGGTGAAATGTTAACTATCTTGCCAGTTAATGTCTTTAGCGCCATTGTAAGGAAAAGTCCACTGTCGAAATTCTTTATCGATATCTCATTATTATTATATCGTTTATATTATTCATCATTATCATATTTATATATCTCAAACGATATACTAATTTTAAATTATGTCTTATATATTAGTTGAAAAGTTTCTTTTAAGCCAGCTGAAATCGTTTTAATGCATCAACAGTAGTAGAATAATGTGAAATAATAGATAGGTAAAAAAAAAAAAAAAAATACATTAGAACGAAGTGTTTTTTTCAGATGAATATTTCAGAAAATTCTTGGTTTCTCTTGCGGTAGTTTGGAATTTTTTCATACCTTCTATTACTATAAATTTTATATAAATATTCTATATTGAAATTTTAGTGAAATATTTTTTAAAGCTATATCACGTAGACGAATAATATTAATTTAAAGTTTAATCTTATATTCATCGTAAGTGCACATACTTTCGGTGCATCCACAATCGCACCAATGCGGTTAAAATACATGAGATAATTTTTCAATTTATAATTCTAACAAATTAAGCGATTAACGTTGGAATGAAAATTTATTTTACAACTCCGAAATGCTGCAAGAACAATGCTAATTTAAATTTCATCATCGTTTTATTTTTAAGAGAATTTTCAAATATTCATTAAAATTACATGAAAAAAAATTCGATACTGATAATAAATGTGTGTGTATATATATATTAATAATTTTTTATACATAATTATTTGTTATAATTTGGCCGAATTAAAAATTAAAAAAGTTATATATGCTATGAAAATATCACGAATAATTGTTCTGCTCTAATTAAAAAGTTAAATATATTTTTAATTGTATTTTTATAATCTGTAATTTAACATTACATCGATAAAGAAATCCAAGAAATGTATGAATTTTTAGTTTTATATAGAATTAATTATCGATTGATGGCGTGCACGATTATAACATAATAAGTTTTCTCGTGATAACTTTGCAAACTTTTCGACTTTACGAAAGCGTGTTACATATAATTAAGATAAAGAAATTTTAAGAAACGAGTATTAGAAAAATGGCATGCAACTTTAATCGGCCAATAATCCACTTCGAGAGCCTTTATTTTCATAACAGATAATCTTCCAATTGAGATGCCCATGCACTTTATTTTAGTTAGCTGTTATCGAGCGAGTGAACACTCGCTCTGACATAATGTTTTATTACTTAAAGGTCACATGGATTAGTGAAAAAAGAAAAAAAAAAAGAAGAAAAAGAAATAGACACTTTTATTTTGACATTATTAAACTGATATACTTAATGATATATATTTTATCATATAATTGTAAAAATTATTTCTAAATATCTTGTAATTATTTTATCAACCGTTTCATTAATAAGATATCGAGTAAATTTAAACTGCAGGTCTTTTTTACAATAAATTCATCTCGTCGTTTCAAAGATATTAACCGCACGAAATGCAAAGCCTATGCATAGAATGATAAATATATATCATTGGTCGCTCTTACCTGCAGGATTAATGTCCAGCAGTCTTTGATCTATATTTCTAGTAGGTGTGGGTGTAGGTATGCTACGAGCCGACTCAAGGTCTAGGATGTTTCGCATTCGTCTAACGCTCGTTGCTCGCTGACTGCCTGGATTGCCAAGTGTGTTGGATTTCTGACCGACCAATGACGATCTGACGTTGGAGGCAACCGAGGAAGGCCTTTGATTTCCAGTGGATCGATGATTCGACGAGCTAATGGCTGTAGAAGCTCGGAGATTCGCAAGATTCACCTGCTGGGCGGAAGCTGATCTCGTTGATAAGCGATCTAGTGTACTTGACATCGGCCTGTACGAGCCGTAGCTACCATAATCGGCCTAAACATAAACATGCCGTAATGTATAATTTTCGTTTGTTTGACGTAATGGTAGTTGGGCATGATTATCTTACGTGCCTTTAACAACTAAACACATCATTAGTTAGACAATTGTAATATGTCGAACGATTATCGTCGCTACTCTAACATTAATTAGGAATAGAAATTTGGATGCAAATTTTGCAAGCGTATTTTCTAATGAATGATTACGCGCATACATGTTCGTATTTCGTAGAAATGAAACGAAAATTTTTAACGTCTCAATTAATGAAACGAAACGAAATTCATAATATCCGAATGTGAGGCTAATGCATGAATAATGCGTTAGGTTAAATATTATTAATTGCCAAGTTCTATAGTATCTCGATGCTTTATGTAATTACTTATTTTCTGCTCAATCATTCCCGTCGACTCCATACTATTAATAATAATATTTTATTTACATCAGTAAATTCATTAGGGTGTTAAATTTATGCAATTACCGATATTAATCGAGCTCGTTCTTTCCTTATATTAATATTGAAATTTAGGTGCTTAAAGATTTTGCGTGATGCAATTAATAATTTAATTCGCTGCACTTGGCCGTTACGTCGATAGCTTCTCTTGCTTATAGAGTCTAAATTATCCGATATTTCATTTACATAGGAAGGTACTTTGAAAATTGCTAATTAATGTCAACTAATTTCAACACATCATCTAAATAATATATTTGGACAATGAACTGCCGACCATTTAATTATCGCGTGCGCCAATCCGATAATCGAATTACGGAATATTGATCTAAAGTATTAATAAAACTACTAAAGTCGCTACGCTCCGACGAACTTATACAAATACGGGAACATTAAGGACACGTAGAACATAATAAAGTCGCTAACGAATGAAATGCGAGACACTATGCGTGTAATTCATTCTATTTTTAGCTCAAACGACCAAGCCACATTAAAACATTCTCGATGTCATTATCAGTGGAGCTGCTGCTCCGAGCGCTAAGAATTTAAGGAAAAATCTATTGGATTCTAATTAGCCCGGACAAGTAATCGCTATTACATTAGTCTATTTAGAGAGGAATGCAATAACCAAAGGGAGTAAATCGAAGAGCACCTGATTAACGGCCGCATGAATGTTCTCGGCACTATATGTGTAGCGAGGTGGTCGGTTTGTTGTCGCACGTATCTGCTCATAGAGGGCTGAAGTACTTGGGGTACGGCTTAGCCAAGCCCTGTACTCGTCCGATGTAAATACACTTGGTGACGACGGTATTCTCCCTATAATAATTTAATGAAAATTAAAGCTTTTTAAAGCGACTGTCTTCCGGAGCATTGTTATTATTGCAGTACAAGTTCAAATCGTTTAGTTAATATTTATTGACGAAGCACTGGTTGATTATAGTAGGAACCTAAGATCTTACATACCCATTGATCGTAATTAAATCAGTCACTAGTTACTAAAATCTTTTTGGTAGAGCAAATTATCTTCACGATATGCACAGCTTATAAAATCAAGATCAAGACAACGATTAATGAATAGAATGTTTTTGGATGTGAATTAAAGGGGATAGATTAAGCTTGCAAGTACACTTTTTACGATATTATTTAAACATGAAAATTAAAAATATCGATAATTCTAGCATTATGAAGAAATAGCGTAGTAGTAGCATTATTGCTAGGATGTATGTAAAGTTATTACTTGTAGCAAAGGTCTAAGGTAATTATGTAATTTTATGTACTACCTACATTTTATTATGTATGCAAGCCTCTCATATTTATTCCCATTAAATTCGACATACCCTCGTATAATTTGCGTATTTTTCTAATTATTAAAATACAAAATACTAATTTTTAAATATTTAATAAGCTTACATGCATTTAAAACATAGGCTTGTCATAAAATCGTTATTACTCAAAAAAAAAAAAAAATATATATATATATATATATATATATATATATTTTTTTTTTACTTATTTAATTACATGCAACTTCATCGTGGACTTTGAATATGTTCAAGTTTATAATTATACACACATGTGTGTGCGAGCGTACGTCAATACATACATATATGCGTATGTACGTATGGGTGAGCGCTTATGCATCTGTGTTTATACGTATGTATGCACAAATATATATGGGATTAGAGTAGATAATTATCATTGTTAGGTACAACCGATTCGTGATTTCTGATAATAATTTAATTAAAATATCGATATTGTGATCATTGAAGATAATCAAATGTCGTAATTTTGAAAATTTAATACTAAACAATATCGACAGTTACATAGATGTAAATAAAGATAGGGTATTCGAAACATTTAAATTGTTCATGCACTGAAAGCAAAATTGCCTGCTATTTTTCAACCTACTTTACGTGTCCGGAAAACCATAACTTCACAATATAAACATTTTAAACATGAGATAATATGAAACTTTATTTTCAAGATGAAAAGTCCTGCACGATGAAGAAACAAAACAAAATTTTTATATACACATATAAACATCTATAGCACCACCAAAATACTAATCACATTAAAGTGAGCTGAACAATATTGCTGAAACTTATAATAAAATAGTCATTTAGCGCTCTCCACTGTGTGTGTGTGTGTGTGTGTGTGGGTGTGTGTGTGTGTATGTGTGTATGTGTGTATGTGTGTATGTGCGTGCGTGCGCGCGCGCGCGGGCGTAGGGTATAAACAAGTGCGCATGCATGCGTGCGCCCACGCGCACATATACACACGCAAATATATATAGGGCGGTTTAATTAAATTAGCGAGCAATTTTCTCGAATTTCATACTGCACGGATACAGAATTTCCTAATTACTTTCATGGCATCCAAATATGACGAGCTCATCCTAAATACGTTCCGCAGTAAATTCTTTGGAAATTGGAGATAAATTGCCCGAGACGTCGACTATGAGCTTGCCAATAATTCTAAACTTCAAGCAGTCTGAGGAGGTATGCGCGAGCATGCATAAGTCGTAGAGTCCTTACCTCGGTCTCGTCGGATACAGGGAAGTTCAGGAGCTGAGAGAGCTCCGTCGCTGTCTTCTTGATCGATCAGACCTGACGCGACGGTGCTAAGTCCCGGTCTAAGGCTCGGCTGCTGCGGCAACGTCCTACCGCTACGCGGCAACGAATTCGATCTCAAGCCTAAAACATCCGCAAGCGGCAATTCCGCCTGCCTTCACTGTCCAAACTTCGCCCCTCCGACCGCTCATTCTCGCTCGAGCATTGACTCTCGCTTGGCTAATTATTAGCAATTAGTCGCCGACTGGACGATTTTACGCGCACCTCGATCACGCTCGCTTAACCCGAATGACAGAGAAAGAGAGAGAGAGAGAGAGAGAGAGAGAGAGAGAGAGAGAGAGAGAGAGAGAGAGTGAGAGTGAAAATGTCGAAAGAGTAGAGTCTAGAATTTCTCCTCTAAAATGCTCCATTCGACATTTGCTTAGCGCGTCGAACATTTGCTTTTCGCACGAGACAAGCGACGAACTTCTTAAATTATACCAACAAATAATTAATTCTTATTATTGTCCAGCGCAATGCTTACGTTAAATGCCTTCATTCGTTCCAATATTACTACTTGCCACTTTCACGCTGGGCGGTAAATTTAATTGATCGTAAATACTGTCACCGCTTCGATTCTCTTAATACGGTTACGCTCCATTTATTTTTCAATTAGAGCATAATTCATTGCCAATTGCATTAGGAACACGCAATAAACGTAATGCCGATGTGTAATATAAAATGCCGAATAGATAGGGAAATTGATAGTTTGAGACGGCTGATTCCCTCAATATTTTTTCCATCTTCGATCGCATTAGCGGACGTGGACGTTGCCGTAGGGATTTGCGAGCATTCTGTGAAACTTTTCATGCCAATCTTTCCCATCGCTATTTGCCCATTTTATCTATATTATTTCTAGTATGAATATCTAAGAGCTCGCTAAAAACAGACTATCGCAATTAAATGACTAAAGAAGAAAGAAGTAAAATGACACGAGTAGAGCGGATGAAAAACAAAAGAAAAACAAAACAAAACAAAAAACACATCAAGGTGATAATATGTAAAAAAAGAAGTCATAAATGTAGAACAAAGGTGTACGGAAGTATTGTTAGTCGTCGAGATAACGCACCTGTGGTTTTCCATAATTTTATTAGAAGTAGCTCATAAAGAAGGAACGTACCTTCTCTATGTGGCATTCATTATTTTTGCTTTTATTTCGTTTCATTTATTTGAAGGAGTGGCTCGATAGGCCATTTTTCGAATAATTAAGTTTTTTGTTTTTGCTTTTTGTTCTTTGCCTGTATGGAGTGAAATATAAACCTTTCAAGTTCTTCTGGATTTTATAAAATAATGATGTTTATACGGAAATTTTATTTAGATTTCTTTCGATTATTCAAGCAATCGCGCTGAAATTAATATGTCGACAAAATCTAGAGAAAAAAAGAAAAAAGAAAACAGTCAAGTCCATCGCGACTAAAGAATTTTATCGACTTACCAATATTATTCGTACTCATTCAACCGCATTAATTATAGAGAGGAATACTATATAAGTAAATTTATTCTATGTAAAATTTAATAGAATTTTGTAGTTATATGACATTGCAATTAAATACCATGAACGTTCTACTAGATAGAGGCGCTCATGATAATCGTTAGTGGCATTAAAAACATTAAAATCCAATGTGCTCGGGAGTGGAAGCGTTTCCAACCTTCTGCCCCATCCGTCATACCCCCTTTCACCATTATTTTCATCATATTTCATCATATTGGAGATTGGAAAAGTCCTCTTACGCGATATCGTTCGGCAAAATCCACAGGGACGGAATCCCAGACGACGAACCTCCGCCCGAGACTAATCTTACCTGCGCTCTGGCCGATCTGTGAACGTGATAGCGTTGCCAGGTGAGAGACGGCGCTATTCTGTCCTGCGTTCTTTAAATTGTTCCTGTAATAATAGTAGGCCGAACGGGGTGAACTGGAACAAGTCGCTTCTGTGTCGGAAGCGTAGTCGAGCGAAGGCCTGTGACGTCTTGTGAGGGTGCCGAATTGACCCTGGCGCTGCGACGACATCGTCTCGCTTTGAGGGCCGTAGCGCGAATTGTAGCGCATTGCCGATGAACCTGATAACAAATTGATAATAATGCCCATTGACTATTTGCCACACTCGCATAAGAATTGTAATATAAACATTTTCATGGAGGAAAGAAACGTCTATTCTTGCAACTCTCGCATCTATTGTCATGTACCATTAAAAAATCCCTTCCTCTTCGTATCCGTCGTCGCGTCGTTCATTTTAATTTTCATAGATGTCGCATGTAAATTTCAGGCTATTTTATTGGATCGCAGACGAACAATTTTATGAAACAAATAGTTCACCGGCAATTTGTGCTATAATGCCTTTAAAACATTTTCAGCGTAATAATTATAAAAATTTTTTTAAATAAATCATTACCACTAGAAAGCATCACAATTGCCACTCCCAGCTGGCATCATTACTAACACAATTAAATAATTTATTGCCATTATAATGTCATTTATTTTAATGATCCAAAATTAATATTCAAGCAACTCGATCGCAACGCTTTAAAACAAATCCCAAACCACACTTTATTCATTGTTCACACGTACAGACGATTTAACATTGGACTCGCCATACTTATCAACGTCCCATTAAAATACCTCTGGAAAATCAGGCGACGCCACATCCCTCCTTCCTCCACTCGCCATCCAGGACACCGATCGTTACATCCGTTCACACTCCAAACATGATAAATGCTCATTTACGTACCGGTCTTGAGACTCGATCTAAGCAGAGTATGTCTAGCCGGCGTAGTCATACTCGTGTAGTCGACCCGGGGAAGATGTTGGTCCGAGCCGCTCCTCGGCATCATGCGACCCGTGCCCGGATGCTGTCGGTATGCAGCGGCGTAGTGGGAGCCTACCGATTGTCCAGGTAATCGGCCTCCGACCGTCTGCATGCCGGTACCGGCAGACATGCGACGCGTGCCGTTGGTCGACGGCATCGAGGGCGGATAAAACGAGTGTACCTGGTGCACGCGTATATAAGCGCTCGATCAGGTATATTGCTATGAGGGCTCGCAGGGCGAGTCTTTACGATCTTAAACTCTCTTTCGCCCTTTGTGTAATGCAAGCAATGATTTATCATTTTCGCTTTCTCAAGCCTCTACATTCGGCTCGACCAAGTTTTGATCTTTTTTCCTTTCTTTGCTGTTTCTTATTGTCTTTTGTTTTTTGACTTTTTTCTTTGAGAGCGTCGACACTTAAATATGAAAAATGATTTGAAAGTCAAAATATTGCGAGCCGCGTGAACTTGAATTTCAATGGAATAATTTTCAATTAAGAAATTTGATTACAGTATATTCAATGGCAATTCTGTCATCGGCATCAGTCAATAAATATCCTTGGAATGCTTAAGAGGATTATTGAATAACAAAATAATATTAAATTTATTTCTAATCGCGGTAAAAGATGCATGAAAAATAGAACAATCCTTTTATGATCGATCGAATGTATTGCTTATGCGTCATTCCTTATTCTTTTGAAAATCAATCAATATTTTGAAATGGCTTGATGGATTAGAGAATTGTTTCTTAATTTATTATTATCGTTAAAGTATCGCATTACTAATACTGAGTAGTTTGTTTCGTGCATTTTATCAGAGCAAATAATTTATGAAGAAATTAATAATATTTACAATACGTTAAACTTCATATTTTCAGCAAATCATTCATTAATGTTATTATGGAGTTTTATGACGTAACTAATAACAAAATAATCAAATATAATACTCGTATGTATGATTTAGATGAGTTAAACGAGCGAATATTAACACACATGGCTTAACTTAAAATAATCGCGTAAAAATTATATCGATATTTTTATTATATTTTTGTTTTTTTCACTAAGCATTAATTATCTAATGAAATTGCTGCCTAAATTAATGATATTTAAAAGGTGCTTAAAAAATTATGATTTAGCTAGATTAAATTTTAGTAAAACTATTAAAATATTGGTAAGATATTAATATTAATTATTAATAGATTATTCACTTTATTGCAGCTAATAATATAATATTTCGATTAGCCATGTAATTGCAATGATGGTATTCCACGGCGTTATTATACAATGATTACGATATTTATCAATATACGCCGACAGTCTATTAAAATTTTGCACCCGCAATAACAATCAATGATTAAATATGCATAATATAAAACATAAATACAATCACGTATATCTGACATATATCTACAAATCAACAGTCACTCATATCATATACGTCTATACGCGCGCACACTCACTATATCTATACGTACATACATATATGTACATGTATATATATATATAGGTATTTGCATGCGTATGCGTATTGTTGCACAAGTAAATGTTGCTTAATAAAATGCACGAAATTTTAATTAAATAAAGCACAATCACATCGCTTGGATAAAAATTAAATTTTAATTTTCAATAGAAATTCAAAATGCATATTTGAGCTCTTGAAGTTCATAGTACGTAAGATTTGAACCTTATACATGCTTTTAAAATTTTTCTTAAATTTATAGAAAAATATACATTATTGTGCTAATCGCGCTCTACACGTATAAATAAATAATATTTACTACAAATTCACAAAGTATTAAGATACTCCAAGAGCACACATTTATTAAGAATCGGTGCAACATAACACAAGCATAAATATAATACAACAACGATGACACATATGATGAAAACAGCAAAGGTTGGTCACAGACATTTTTACAGCAGGCTTTTGAGCGGGTTAATTGCGATTAAAGGATTCTTCGATTAATTATCGATATTACAACAGGTTGTGTTCTATTAATAATTAATCTCAACATTTTTTACTTATAGCGCACAACATCATTAAGAACAGCGTTATCCGAGAGAAAACTTGTATTAAATATTATTCATTATTTTTTATATACTGAAAATAATAACAATCACATCACGCTCGTAGAAAATAATGTAAACTTGAGAATGTCACGTGGATCGAATCAATTTAAAAATAGTACTTGCTTACTTATTCTTATCTCCATTCCAAATCTTAAATAATTTCTACACAATACTTATTATATGTATATACTGTGTTTATATATAATCCATAATTATAATTTCAAATACATTTTGCTTTCTTTTAAATAAATCCTTTATAAAGTAAATTCAAAGCGATTATGATAAATTCTTTCCTTATATTTCATGCTCGAGAGCAATTTCTTATAAACGAGTCTTCATTGGTTTTTTTTTGCAAATTTAACATTTTTCAATGAAAAACAATGATTCTTATGTTTGATCAAAAAAAGAAGAATAAAAAAAAAAAAAAAAAAAAATTTAATTATTCACAGTCAGTAGGTATTCATTAGGCATAATAGCAGAAAAATTGCATAATCAGTATAAAAATAATATTTCGTTTCATTTGATAAAAGTATTTTCTCAGATTGCAGATTTTTTCGCCACTGAATGTCGATTCCAATATAATAATAAAGTCACACATTGGTTTTGAAATAAATTGAAATCGAACAAATGCTTTGAAATTTTCAATCTGCGCGCTTTTCGTTTACTTAGTTATTATTATAAGATCTAGTTATCAAGAAGATTTGTAAATGCTATTACCTTCGTGAAATCCTGGTTTTTTTTGCAATGGAGCGATCATTCATAGAACCGATAAGTCCGATTAGTAACTCGTAATTTCAATTTGAATTATATGTCGGCTAGCTCACACGTCTAGCCATCATGTAACCGAAATGTTTACTTTTCAACATATATTTCTATGTATTTCTTCTTCAAAATCAATATCACTTGTTTCTTAAAAGTCTTAAAAATAAAAATAGATATATCTACCAGCTGTATGTCTCAATATATTAAAAAAAGGAAAGTTCATAAAATTCAAGCTTTCAAGCTTACGTTGTTTCATAAGTTCATAATTAACTTTACTTAAAACCAGGACAGTAGTATTCGCGATTCGTACGAGCCACCGTTTCTCACCATTTCTTTATGATAATTTCAATGATGATTTTAATATTGACATTTGTCATAGTGATCTTAGAGAGTGGAGGGCATATATAGTGTATGGAACAGTGCGAGAAGGTATAAAAGGTGCTCGTTCCACATCGTCTAAGACATCTATGCTCTATAAAAAGAAGAATTTGTCAAAGATAAGTGTCAAACTATTATTGTCAATCAATCGATTATTCACAGTCAGTTCGTCAAATAATTGAGTTTTGAAAAATTCTCTTTTATTGGTGCAACAAATTTTTTGTTCAACTCTCGTGAAAACATTTTATTAACAAGCATAAATAAATTCCAGATGCAATAACGTTAATATTATTTGAAATCTTAAAGAACGCTTTAAAAATATCAGAACATAGTTTTTATGTAATTCCTTAATAAACAAAATTCTAAGCGTTTAATATACAATATTTATATATACGCGAGTGTGTATGTTTGTGTGTGTATGCATGCGTACATCGGTATGCGCGCGCACGCGAGTGTGCGTATTTCATGTATGTTTGTGTGCGACGGTTTACGTGTGTCTGTGTGCATGTATGTTTGCGCGCGTAATGTATTGGTATAAATACACACACACATTATATATATATATATATATTAATTTTTTTTTTCTTTTCGAATTGACTTTTATATGTGAAATACAGTTTTGTTTTTATTTTATAATAATACAGATGTTAAAAACAAAAAAAGCTTTTTGTTTGCATTGTAATGATGTAAGTAATAATACGTATAATAATATAAGAATTTATCATCTTATTTCAAGATGATATTAAATATAAAAAAATATCTGTTATATTATACAATTCTAATAAGTGCAGCACTTTTTAATTAGCAATAAAAAATTAGCGATGAACAATTATTTCGAACAAATCGTGATCGATATTCACAGATAAAAAAAGTGTGTGTGTGTGAGAGAGAGAGAGAGAGAGAGAGAGAGAGAGAGAGAGAGTGAGAGAGAGAGAGATATATATATATATATATATATTCAGTTAGTTTATGTAGTTTAAGCAAAATAAAATTAGAACTATAATATATAACAGACTTTAAACATTAAAGACGTAGTTCCGAATGCCCACACACATACATTGGTAAGTTTTCCAGGTATTAGCTACTGCTATGGACGTACGTAAACAATGGCTTGATAAAATTTTGTAAAATTTAATGGTTTTTTATCCGAACTCGGTAATGAAATTACAAGCTTAATTTACTTGAAAATTACATCAAAACATATGCTAATACTTAAACTTTTAATGCACCAAATCGTGCAACATAAAAGCAACCGATAAACAGTGATTTAACAATGATTCAATAAGCTTATTCAGAAAAGTTGTAATTGCCTTATTGACGTATTAAACAAAATTCACGAGAGTCGAATGACGAAAGAAGAGAAAAATTGAAAGAGGTATGAATATATAAATTCATGATAATGGTGAATCGTATGCACGAGTGCAACTTTGGCTCGAGCACGCCAGGTCTCACCTTCTCGGCAAGGCTCTCGAGGGTCTTGGGATAGCCACGCTCATATGGTTGGAAGTGCTGAGTCGAGGACGGCTTAGGCTGCTGGGTAATTACCGGAGGGGGCGGGGGCTGATACGTCCAGCCAATGTGACTCTCCGGCCTTGAGTTATAATAAAGGTCGCCGTTGCTTGCGACAATGTCTTGAGTCGAGCCCAGACCCGATAGTCCCAGCTTAGAGCGCGAGGGCAACATCTCGCGACCGTCGCCCCGACGCCGATTGCTGTCCCTGGAAATTGGTGGCGCGAGCAAAGGCGCGATGTTTTACATTTCACTCTACTTATGGCGCCTAGTACTTTGCTCAGCCTCTCGCAATTATCATTACTTTGTGGGTTTTTATGTCGAGGCTTGTAGAATAATTGCGCATAATGTGTAAAATGATCGCTTATAAGATAATAACGATCGATCTTTCAAATCTGCATGTCCATATGTTTGATTTAATTTGCTCGTCCATTTCATGTAATGTAAGTATCGGTTAGGTTTTTATTTTTCTTTAAAGGTTTATCTATTTTTATTATGTATAACAACATGCGTTATTGCGCGCTTGAAACTAGAAATACAAATAAAACACAAATAAAGAATTTGCAAAAATTGTTTTCTTTTGAAGTTTGCTGAAATAAGAATTTAGATTAAGTTGAAGGAATGACGATAGGATTTTTATTTAATCAAGCTCTTTAAATAATAATTTTTTAACTAAATATTTCCTTTAATCGGTAAATTCACCGGCAGATAATTTAAATTGTACAACGTAACTAAATAATACGTTTTAATAAGACTTGTAAACAAACGAATATTGCTTAAACGTTAGCAATAACCTAACAAATTTAATTATTTTTTCTTCTTCGTCTTCTTCTTCTTCTTTATCATCTTTTTCATTTTCAATTATATGTTTCTGTTATTTTTATTTATTTATTTTTTGTTTTGTATTTTTTTTTTGTACATTAATTTGTACTCTTTAGATAGGCTTTAATAATTATTAGTAATTTTAAACAGAAAGAAAAATGCATGGACATTGTATTTAAAATTTTAATTCGATGAAAAAAAAAAACGTATTCGTGATATGTATTGTTATTGTTTTGTTATGATCTTAGATATATTTATAAAATCCAAATCCGTACCTTATATGATTACTGGTGATATGGTCGTTCTCATCCTCGTTGAGTTCCTTCTTGATAACAACAACCGGTGGGGCCTTATGCTCGTTTTGTCGATTGTGCGGCATGAACATAAGGGAACCGTGTCTAATGGCAAGTACGAGTCGTCTTGGTATCGACATGACGACCACAACGTCATCCAGACTCATGCGTGTCACGTTTACAAAATTTACCGCCAGTATTTCATCTCCGACCTTCGCACACATAAATATACACACACATAACCACATAATTATAGACGTATTATCGAGTTTATCATCCCCTTGTAATTTTTTGTTTTACATTTCACTTCACTTACTTTACGCATATGTCAAATTACAATATAATTTTTAGACTACGTATTTTCTAAAATCAATAGAAACGTTCGCGTTGTTTAGAAGTAACATAATAACGGCATAACAATAACAATAACAACAACAACAACAACAAGAGCAACAACAACAATAATAATAATAATAATAATAATAATAATAATAATAATAATAATAATAATAATAATAATAATAATAATAATAATAATAATAATAATAATGATAATAATAATGATAATAATAATGATAATATCAATCGCTCGTTTATTAAACGGGATAAAAATTATCTTTTCCACGAGTTTCATATAAATTTTCCGGATATTAATATTCAAAGTACCAATCGATATTATTTTAGTAATATCGCAGAGTAAAATGATTAATGTTTCGGCTGAATAATAGTTGAGCGTTGTTCAAATCGCCTAAGCATGAGAGGTAAATCATGTTCTAACGTATACGTAATCATTTGTACACTACCAATGCGAAGATAGTTTAAATTTGTATAACCATAATTAAGAATTTCCAGTAAATAGCGGAAATAAAAATTCCTCATAAAATTGAAACGATCATTAGCAGTTAAGATAATAAGATAATAAGATATTTGTTGAGTCTTGTTAAGATTCACGCGGTTATGCTAACGTTATACTCAGGCTAATAAAGTCCTTTCTTTTAAAACTCCATATAAATCTCATAATGCGTGGACAAATTCTTTTAATATTCGATAAATCCACATGGAACAAATATCGACACATATAGAGCATATTATTAAAAAATATATACTCGATTGGTTAAAGACCTTTTGAGGTGATTGATACGTAATATCGTTTAGCCATATGCGAGTCCCTTAGGATGTGCAGCTAATTATTACGTTAACATACTGTAAAATATAATTATAATATAAATATAATATAATAGAACCTTTAAATATCCGCTATTGTGTACTGCCGTCTCCACTGCAACTCTCGAAATAAAAACGCCATCGTTTCTGTCTATACTGTTGCCCTCGCGAATATAGAGTCCCAATGTTTGGCCGGGCCTCTTGATTATTTCAACGAAACTCACTGGATGCTTAGGATCCTAAATATTAGAAAGTACAGAGCCTAGGTTATATATGGCGATCGTTGTATTTTAATTAATCGTTATCGTTTAAACATTTCTAGCCGTTCGTTCGTGCAGATAGGTACATTGAATTACGATATTTTATGTAATATTTATGGGAGCGTCGATGTTAATGGCCAACGATAGCAAAGCAAATTCCACAATGACACTCGCTCAATGAAAATCTTGGCTCATTGATATTACAAGGCAACTACACATTATCCGCTACATATTAGATAAAATTGGTATAATCTATTAAGCCACTCCGTCCGTAAATTTTACGATAAAAATAATCATCGTATCATTTTACAATATTATCGCGCTATCATAATGAATTCAGAAATTACGAAATGTTTTATAATCGAAGCCTAGCTCGATCAGATATTCCACTGATAATTCGAAATGTTCCATGCAACATTAACAGTCTTTGGCGAATTGGCGCTAAAATGCTTGAAATTAAAAGAAAGCGACCAGAAGGTGTCGTCTCTCTCGAATAAATACACGATAAACGCGAAAATCGCGCTCTCGCAATCACCTGCATGGCGATGAACAATTTCGCATCTTCCGACGCCTGTCTGCCCATCTGACGTGGTTCGATGACCTTGACGACCATCTCGCCATGCTTCTCGACAGCCTCAAGAGCCGCTGCCGTCGAGGCGTCATGGTCGTTCTCGACGACCTCGATTTGCCTGTAGACCTCGTCCGATATTCCAGATACCTGCAACAGAAGTTTTCTCTCCTATTCTGGGAATTAACATAATTCACAGGCTGTCGAAGAGCGCTTGAAATACTTCTTATAGGCTTAATATGTGTGATACGCAATCGCTATGGAAACTACTCGCGCGAGGAAACCTTACGCGAAGAATAAAATACAAAAAAATTTTGTATAAATAAATGCAATAAATAAATGAATAAAATTAACGACAAAAATAGTCGACGTGAGGACGAGAGCGCGAGTAACACGCTGTTAGTCCTAATAAATACGATCCTCGCCCATCTTGCCCATCGCGCTCATCCTACGGCCCCATAATACTACAAACCCACATAATACAAAGAATTTTGAATAATTAAGCGCTTAAAATAAGCAAGCAATCTAAAAACAAATATCCGCATTAGCATTAATTTCCCAATCTAAATGCACTTTAACCCGAACGCTTATAATCCCCGACGTGGGTACATGGCAAATATAAGGAGCAAGATTTTTTTTATCCTCGCTCATTAGGACGTTAAACGAGCGAAGAGCAGTGATCTATGAAGCAAAGCCTCTGTACTTTCGAGGTAACGCAAAGGGCATGTGGAACGGATGTCTTAAGCCCCGCTACCCGTGATTAAAGATAGCGGAGCTCGAAGCTCGTCTCGACGGATATCGAGATGACGGTAAGCCAGTGTCATTACCTTCTTGAAGTCTCCCTGAAGGACCACGGAGAGAGGCTCCTTGGGGCGAAACTGGTTGAGAGATACCTGTCTCCCTGGACTTGCGCTTATGTCTGTTACTTCGCCCCGACCCTCCTGCAACACACAAAATTGACGTCCGTGAATTTAGATGCAAGTGGCTCGGCTCCATTACTCGACCTTAATCTAATTATCAGGACGCTATCTTAACGTTATCACGACGATACCAAGACGCACGTAAACTAACGCGAATTACAGCAAAGCCCATGTACTTTTCCATTGACGAGTGCAAACAATCGTAATTAATTGTAAACCGAATGAATTTCAGGACGTGGGACTTTGTTGCAAATACGAACTCGTGATGTTGCGAGCTCTTGGCTTCGCACAAATCCTTCATCAACGTCTCCCAGATAATGAGTTAGCATGGTCGGCTACCATCTCGTTGACGGTTAAGCCGCCGACAATAACCGTTCGCCAATGCGCCGTGTGCAAATAGTCCTTCGTCTCGCTTCGCGTGCGACGCACACACCAGAAGAGCCGAGAAAGTGGGCGGGAAATGCCGAGGATCGGCCAGGTGACGGCCGTCCCGGTGGTCCATACGCGCGCGATCGACTTGCCGCCAGTGTGACCCTTGGGGTTTGCATTGAGCGAGCTCGCAGCCGAGCTGGTGAGCTAAGGATGCGCGTGGGAGGTAGGTAAATCGCGATGACGGCGTTGTTCGCCGTGGGACCAGGCGCCCACCTCTCGTCCAATGGCGCCAACGAGCCGCAGACATCGCAGGCAGAGACCCGTGCAGGGCAGGATGAGCACGAGCCAGGCCTTCGAGCCACACATCCGCTGCCGGTCGTTGAGCTTCGTGAGGACGGCAGAGCCGCGTGTTGCGGCCCCTTGTCCCGGTCGGGGCCCTCGCCCGACCCCGGCCAGGCCGACTAACCCGCGAGCGGGCGACTCGTCCACGCAGCATCCCCCGGTCCCATAGCCTCGCTTCTCGCACATATCGCTGATCCGCACTCGCGGTCGCGTCCGGGTCGCGGCGCGTACGTTCACCCCACTCTCCGTCTCGCTTTCGCTTTCGCTCCTCCTTGCACACTTTGCCGACGTAAGCCCGCTGTCGTTCACCGCGGGCCTTTAATCGCGCGTATCCGTCAATGGCCTCGTCCCCCGTGATAACAAGAGGGGCCAGTCGACGCCCAGACGCACGTCCTCGATGTCCGTTGAAGGGCAGCTCTGCCCCATGCTGGCCAATGTGTCAAGAGTAGGACGAGCCGCGCGCGCGCGCGCCCGGTTTAACGGATCTCGGCAGTGAGCCACGACGACGGGAGTACCGGAGCTCCATACGCATGCGCCCCGGGTGGGGGAGGACGCGCGAGGGAGGTTGGGTACGTTATCGACCCCCGAGGTGGTGACGTCACCGCCTCGCTCCCATTTTATCTGACTCACGTCCACTCTCGCTCTCTCTCTCTCTCTCTCTCTCTCTCTCTCGCTCTCTCTCTCGCTCTCTCGCTCTCTCTCTCTCTCTCTCTCGCTCTCTCGCTCTCTCGCTCTCTCGCTCTCTCCATCATCCTCTTTCTACACCCACCGACCCACTCCCAATCCCCCTGGCCGTCCAACTCTCCAAACGCCGATCGCTCTATCGGTGTACGCGTGGGTTGGCGGTTGCCGGTCGTGGTCGAGTGGGGGATCGACGGAAGGGGAGAATATACGTGCGTCGAGATCATACGCGCCGTGTCCGTCCTCGTTGCTTTCTAACTTTGTTATAGCGTACCAGGAGCTCGCCTGCGCGTAGAAAAAGGCACTCGGACAAAAGTCCGACTAATCGTATAAGAGCGTGTGCGAGCACCTGTATGCTTTTCGCGTAAAACGTGCGCAATTTCTTCGTACGCTTATTGGACATGTATGGCTTATTGATACATGTACGCAAGTACAGAGACGATTACGCGCGAATTTCGATGCGCGGCTACGCGCCTATAGCACTTAAGTACATAGTCCAATCAATGCATGTGAGTACTTCTTATTCAAAGAATTTTCGATTTAGGTGAGCGTATATGTGCATAGAGCAGACAAGTTCAGGCTCAGGGGCGCTCGTGCAAGGAAAAGTGTGAAATAGAAAATTATCTTATTTGCCGATGGCTTTGGCTAATCCAGTTTGTTGTTTCTCGTTCGACAATATAAGGCTACACTTGGAGTTATATCGTTGTTCGATTTTCATTATTACGTAATCATTCCAAGTCAGTAGAAATAGTGTTTCATCGTATTGTTTTTAATAAATGTGCAATCGGTGTTTGTAATTTTAAGAGAATAAAATTATACGTCTGATAAGTTCTGCACACCCTGATTAAATATCAAATTACTAGTTTACTACCGAGATTCATGAACACTCTGTTTGACTAACACATTTTCATGAAACTACTTCCTTCTTTCTTTTTCTTCTTTCATATTTTCTCTCTTTTAATAGGGAAGCATTATTCCGGCACCCTAACAGCATTCCGAATGAAGTACAATTATTAAATGTCAAAAGGAAGATTTTAAAGGAAAATTCATGGCACACGTATCCTACATACGTAGACATTGGATCCATAAATTTTTAATAGACAAATACAAAAAGGTCGTCATTTGTATGGAGATTCATGGCATTGGAAATTATATTTATCTGTTTTTTTTTCTTCCTGCGCTTAAATATTCATCTCTTGAGACTTAAGTTCGTACTTCTCCCTGAGACACCGCTAACTTTCATCGATTACATTTCCCTTCCAATTTAATCATTTATTTCCAATTACTATAGCACATTCTGCAAATTGTCGTAAAAATTTTCGCCTTTACAAATTCTGAACATATCATATTTTTCATTTTATATTATAATTCATGCGATTATTCGTTTTACTTTCAAGTAATCTTTTATTTGCCTGCCTTAGTAAAATAAGTTTAGTATTCCAAATGTATTTATACTTCGTGCCACTTCTTTCTCTCCTTCTCTTAGCATACCATTAATACACATTTTCTTATCCACTTGTTCATTAGACGTTTTATAGTACTTTTTCATCAAAGAATTTTTATTTCCCGACATTCATTTATAACACTTGATTAATTGTTCACATTTATTAATTGGAGTGCATTCATGATTCATACCCTCAACTATTAATAAACTCGAAAAATATTCCTCATTTATTGAAAATCTCAATATCACAGCTAATGCGCATTTTAATAAAGTAATTTTATTTCTTACTTGTACGATATATCGATCATATTCACTGCTCGCCATGAGTGCCTTTTTTCTACCGTTAACCTCATTTCTATTTCCTCCTCGATATTTTTTCGTAGCCAAAGACGCACTCACAAACGTACATTCTTCTTTAGTTAGACTCCAATTTTATTTTTCAGCTCAATTATTATGTATCCTGAATACTTTTATTCTTTTTAAAATTGTATAATCAGCTATTGCAAGTTGACGTTCCCGTAATAATTTGACTTATTATTTCACGTAGGAAAAATAAAGCAATGCGAATCAAGTCTATAAGTGATAATATTTAATGGTAAAGGAAACATTTTCTAATACTGCAACTAATTTAATAATATATATATATATATATATATATATATACATATATAAATACAGATCTGTATCAAATTAAATCCACGCATTAAACAAATAGCAGAGAAGTAGCTTTCATATATGTGTAGTAAATAATCAGGCATTTTATTTTAAATATTTTTAATTATATTATCATCAGTTGATTATTATAAAATTGTACGTTTAAAAATATTAATAATATGCACAGTTATTATCACAATTAGTCTTTATACGGCTCTTAATCATAATTATTTTATAATTATGTCATATAAAATGAAGAAGATATTACTTTCAAAAAACATACTTGTTATATAGAATTTTAGAATTCTAAATGTGAATTCTTTAAATCTAATGGATTTTATATTTATAAATGTTAGCATTGAGTCGATAGAGGTAGTTAAAAATATTCATTTTATCCGAATATCGAAGGCTTGGGTTGTAGTAGTGGTAGTATATTGTAGTAGCAGTAGTAGTTGTTGTTGTTGTAGTATAGTAGTAGACGTAATAGTCGTTCTCGTCATAACGAAAGCCAACTGGGAGATGAAAGGACAGGATAAAATTGTACGGAGAGGGGATAACGTAATGCGGCAAAAGAAGGTAAAATCAAATAGTAAAAGCTAATACGCAGGCGTGAGGGACCCTTAGCCTGTGTATTAAAATTTAGTTGAAAAGTGCACAACAGTCCATCAACACGTCGTATTTCGCATGAAATTTGGTTTAATTTTTCTTTTTTTCATCCGATCGTGCAGTATGAGCAAGCAATAAGGAATTGAAATATAATTATATTGAAATACTTTGTAGAATTAAGAAAAACACTGAATTATTATACGGTTGCAAGGGATTTTTCCTTACACTATTCTTATCTTGTGATAAAAATCAATTTTTCTATTTTAAGGATATTAAATCGAGATTATTAATATTCTTCATTCTCGCATTGCCCTATAATAATAATAATTATTCTAAAAATATCATTTTTTAAATAAAATTAAAATGGTTAATTTACTATAGTATACTTGATTTATTCATTTATCGTAAACTTTTAAAATCATTCTTATCTACATTATTCAAGCCTATAATTTGAATCCATTTGCCTTTTATCTTTTCGTAATATATAATTTAATAGATATCACCGATAATATTTATTATTATTATAGTTGAAATGTTCATAAGCGAAGAAAAAATACTTTTATGTTTTATTTACAAGTTAAATATTTTTATATAGAGTCGATTTTAAAACAATATTCTAAACTAGTCTACAATCTTTTTTCTTTTTCTTTTATAATTGTGCATTAAAGATCGTAAATCTAATTCGTGAAACGAAGATTTTTGTGTGTTTAATCTTCGTTATCGGGAAATGAGGGATAAAAGAAAGGGAGAGAGAAACGGTTTCTTCGTAGGGAGATGGATAATTTGGTAATCAATTTTACTCTAATGAGGTGCACTTCTTAGTTTTACTTCTATTATCAGTTAAATTATTTTTAAAATGTTCCTTAGCATCCCTATCCCTATAAATTCAATGCTATTTACTATAATTTTCATTTATTTAAAC